TTCACTGGAATTAGTTTTGAGAATTAAACTATTATCAAGCCTTTTGTTTAATGGCTGTCCCAGTTTATTGTGATCTGCCCAAACTACGACCCACCATCCGACATTGTGGAGCCTAAGCAAGGTCTTGCCACAACAGAATTGTTTCTTTCACCTCCTGCATTAAAACAATGATCTTTTTCAATTTAAAAATTAACAATTCCTTTATTTTACCGAGATAAAAGACGCACTCTGACAATGGGAAGGCTCAATTTGGGATCAGCATTTTTAATTGTGTTCGCTAATTTACAAGTTTCGCGTCGAAGAAAAGGCTGTCATTAAAATGATGCTTTTGTTAATATTCAATGTATTGCAATGGAAAAGGCATTCTAAATCACATAAATTTTAAAGATTGGTACTATGGCAAGGCTTTGGACATTTGCTGGAATCGTAACGATTTATATCGGTTCGGAAAATGACCTCGCACTAGACTGTGGAGGGCCGAACAGGCAATCGCCACTTCTGGAGAGCTCTATCACGAGGCGAAAGCACAAATCGTGCAGAATGCAGCACCTGCATTAACAAGATGCACAAAGGGGCAACCAGGTCACCGCGTCAAGTTTTGTTCACGCATGCACACCTATGCTGCATTGAAGCACACCATGAGTTAATATTCTCCATAAACCAAATGTTTCTGACAGTCTTATCGCGTCTGTCACTTGGGGAAAGCGCTTTATATGCCATCGTGTGACTTAGCCATGGAACCCTAATTCTGTGGCATGGGATATGGAGAGCGGCGGCCTCTCGTGCCTAACTGATTTGTTGCTGTCCCCGACTGCCAACGAGGTAAACACTTTTCCTACTCGAAGCTGACAGTTAGTTGAGCTTCGAAATTGTCGACCTCCGACCTCGTCATATCACTAGTATATCTTGAAAGTCAATTAATGGCAAGACAAAGGTAAAGTGATTTTGATCATTTACTATGGCTGTCTAGGAGATTTTGGTGGAATTACTAACGTCTGTCTACTGAGGCGAAACGGTAGCGACTGAACGCTATCTC